GTAAGAGATGATGAAGACTTAGATCAGACCTGGCCTTGTTCTTAAGTAACTCACAGGAACTAAAACTTATCAACCAGATTGAACATATGGTAGCAAGTATTGATATCAAAGCCCAAGCAAGAAACTGTAAAGAGTGAGGAATTTATTTTAGCTGAGGACAAGAAAAAAAATCATGAAAAGTTTAAGTCTGTCTTATCCCATCCCATCTATTTATAAGTTTTAAGGATAGGTAATTGAGACAACATTAAAAAGTTGCTTCTTATTCATGATCACAGAGTATGTTAACATTAGAACCAAAGCTAGAAACCCCACTTCTGTGGTTTATATTTTATTCTAACTGGGCCAACTCAAGTTCATAGAGTTTTGGCACAAAGCATAATCAGTTTGTTGTTGAAATTATTATTGCATATCTTTCGGCTTTCCTAGCAAAGCTTTAAATATGTGGAATAGAACTAAAACCTCAAACTTAGAGATAAGTTAGGTAAATTCTCTAGACTGTTTTCTATTGTATTTATAGTGTCTAGAATCTCAAGGTGGGAAGGAAATTTAGAAATTAATTAATCTTTTAGATTGTTTTGAGGTACTAGCCAATGCTGTTAGACATGAATAACAAATTAGGAGTAAAAAAAAACGAAAGAAGAAGAGATAAAATTATTATGTACAAATGACAAGATTACAGAGGAAACACTGTCCCTTTATCCACCCCTCTTCTCCAGGCATTTCCACTTCCTTGCAGTTCCTTAAATATGCAAGAACAAATGACTTTTGCATTTATTTCCACTTAGAAGACCCATCCACCTGAGATTTTTAAGACTAACTTTCCTGTTTCATTCAGACTTTTGTTTTTCTAGAACCTCTGATATTTTTTATCTTCTTACCTGGTTTTGTCTCCATGGCATTACTACTTTCCAACATCTTATATATTTATTAACTGATTGATTTTCTTTTGCTCACCATAGAAGGTTTTTTGTTCGGTTTTTTTTTACTTCTATGACTAAATGGCCCAACAAGAACAATTTTACTGGAGGAAAAGTTTATTTGGGGGCTCACAGTTTCAGAGGCCTCAGTCCATAGGCGGCTGGCTCCATTCCTCAGGACTTGAGGTGAGGCAGAACATCATGGCAAAAGAAAGCAGCTCACATGATGATCAGAGAGCAGAGAGAGATTCCACTCACCAGATACAAAATATATACCCCTCAAGGCACGCCCCCAATGACTTACCTCCTCCAGACATACCCCACCTGCCTTCAGTTATGACTCAATCAATCCCATCAGGGGATTAATTCACTGATTGGTTTAAGGCTCTCATGATCCAATCATTTCTCCTTTAAACCTTCTCGAATTGTTTCACACATGAACTTTGTGGATACATCACATCCAAACCATAACAGAAGGTAAACTCTTTGAGATCAAGGGCCTTTCTTCTGTTGTGTTCATTGTTATGTCTGTAGTATTCAGTATACCCCCTGGCACATGCTCCCTGTGCCTAGAATACTATCTGACCTATAGTAAGTACTCAGAAATTATTTGCTGAACAAATGAAAATCCAAAAACCTCAAATTTGAAATTATAACCAATAATAATAGAATTTGTAAAGAGTCTATGTTCAAACTTTGCATGTTGAAAACAAAAATCTACATCTACAGAGAATGACAAATGAGAAGATTTAATGGAAACAAATATCACATAACAGCAACTAAAAATGTAAACTTCCTGGATTTAAAAACTTCCTGCTGAACCTAAAAGAAGGCTGGAATAAATGGAAAGGCTCAAAGTCATGAGTCAATTCTTCCAAGGTTAATCTATAAATTTAATATGATTATTTTATAAATATTGAGACTATTGACAGGGCTTGGGAGAGTGGGGGAAACTAAAGAAGCTAATTATAAAGATCAAATAGATAAATACAGAAGAAAATCCATGAAAGTTCAGATAAAAAAGCATAATGAGGTGATAATAGCTCCCCAAATATAAAACCATATAAACAAAAAATAATTAAAACTGTGTGGTATTGAACATAGACAAATAATTAGAATAGAATTAAACCAAAGTATATACAAAAATTATATGAAAAATAATTATTTTCAAGCCAGTGGAACAAACATACACAATAGATAATATTAGAATAATAAAATTTAACCCTTATCTTACAACTTACATTCACATACATTGAACAGCACAACAATAAGTAGAACAGTGCAAGAATTCAACCCAGATACCACGTAAGACTGATAAATCTGAACATATAAAAATTTCTGCATGGAAAAATGTACTAATGGAAGTAAAATAAAAAGGCAAAAAAATATTTGTACTATATAGAAAGGCTAATTCTCTAATATATGGCTTCTGTAAATCAATAAGAAATAAAGCATAACTACCAAATTTCTTAAAATAGGTATAGGAAATGAATGATCAATTCTTAGAAAAGAAAATGCAAATCATTCTTAAACATATGAAATGATATTTAGTTATATAATAAGAGATAAAAATATACTAAAAGAAATTCAGATTTAAAGTATTCTTAGACATCAGTTTTTACTCATCAAATTGGTAAATTAAAAAAAAAAAAGAAATGTTGATTCCAACCATGTTGCCAAGATAATTGAAAAAGAGTCACTTGTCCTTGCCTAAGAGTGTCCTATCCCTTTTAAGGTTAATCTGTCAACATTTATCAGAATCATAAATGTGTGTAGGATATGGAAATTCCACTTCTGGGAATTCATCCCACATATAATAGCATATTGTGTAAAATGGTATATACGCAAAGTCCATCCCTAAAGCATTGTTTATAGCAGGAGAAGACTGGAAATACCTTAAATGCCTGACAATAGGAACCTGGTTAGTTTTTATATGGCTGTTAAAGAAAAATGAAGTAACTTTTTATTTATTGAGAAAGGTACCTCCAGTATATTCAGAGAAAAGAAAAGAAGACCTGAATAGTGTGTTTAGGGTACACTAGCATTTTGGAGAGGGAAAAATATTTACTTGAATATAGGCAAACTACCTCCAGAAAGATCCAGACCACCTTGATAGCATTAATGGCTTCTGGACAGCAAAACTGAGCTATTGGAGGAGGGGTGGAAAGGAGATTTTTCACTGTGAATTGTTTCATACCTTTCTACTTTGGGACCACATGAGTCAACCAATTATAATCCACCTGCTGGTTATTGAAAGTGATGTCGCATTAGCTGTCAGGTATGAGGTGCCAGGTGTGGGGGACAAGGGTGGTTATCAGAAAAGCCTGGTTCCAATTCTTGCTCCTCCACCAGCTTTCAGGCAAGACTTGAGCAAGCAACTTCCCTGCTCAGGGCTGATCTGAGAAAGGCCAGAGAAACTGATTTCCAAGGCCCTCTCTGGCTCCTGACATCTGTAGATATAAACTTCCGTTTTCCCTCACACATTTCTTAAGTCATCCCTCTACCTCCTCCTTTCCTCTGCAGCTCATCAAAAGCTCAGAGGAAAAGACAGACAATTGAAGAAAATAAAATTGCAAAGATGACTTTTATAGGGCTCCTGTTGAATCATTGTGTATTCCACCTCCAAAGCTGAAAATGATGAGTTTAATATCACACAGAGCAGTGCATCTTGTATCTCTCAAAAGACAGCTTATGCTACCCGGAGAACTGGGAGCTCGGTGAGACATAATTTTTCACTCCAACTCTGAGGCAAATGAAATGACAGTCATCAAGCCCACATTCTAGAAGCAACATGGTTTTCATTTGGTTTTAACTTCATTTGAAAGTGTCCCAAGGAGGGAGAATCCTTTCAAATATGGACTTTTCTTCTTTCCCAGAACTATGACCTAGGAAGGACACCGAGAGGTGGCCAGGATTTGCCTGAACTATTTCTAATGTTGTCCACTGATAATGATAAGTGAATTGTGCCGGGGGGCCTGGGGGGTCAATCTCAATTATTCCAGGATCTTGAATGAGACCCTTTCACATCTAAGTCCTCCATTATTCTCAGAAAGGACTAGCAGATATATACTGGGCTGATATATAGGAAGAGAAGTTTGTATTTAAGGGACATTGAAGATCTAATGGCCTAAAAGTCCCCCCCACCACCCCATTTTTGCCAGTCTGTTATCTGGGTAATCTCTTTGGGTTGTTTGTTCAGTCTTGCTGCTCACAGTTGCATCCTTCACTTATAGGCACTGAGCTTCTTTACAGACTGTTCCCCTAGTCTCAGGGAAGCTTAATAAATAATACCATATCAAGCTAGGAAGTGCCTGAATATGTACAAGTAGAGAGCAGAGAAAGACTAGTCAATGTTATTTACAGATTACAAAGACTTCTCATGGAAGCTCCCCCACTTTATATGTTATTGGGTAGTAGGTGTGGGATCAGATAACAAGTTAAATAAAAGAATTTACTAAGACTTTTCATGCACAGCTCCGAAAATTGTCTTTGACATTCATTAAATATGTAGAAAATGAGAGTTATTATTATTATTATTATTATTATTATTATTATTATTATTATTATTGTGTTTGCTTGCCAGTATAACTTTCTGAGATTGGGATCAAAATACCCATTTTTCAGACAAGAAAACCAAGGTTCAAAGTGGAAGCCTGATTTATACCAGGATCCCCAGCAAGAAATTTTGAGTTAGGGTAAAATTGCACGTAGACGCAGAGTTCATACAATTGTGTTCCTTGAAAGGCATTTCTTATTAATCAAAGGAATACATTCAACTAATGTCTAACCATAAATTTGTTAACTGTTCTAAGTAACATCCTGACTTAAACCCAACAAAGCTGTACTTCTTCAGAAGACCCCTAAAGTCTTGGTGACCCTTTACAGTACTTGCAGACCCTGAGAACAGAGAAATTGATCCTGACCTGTCTCAACCCCTCTGATCATAGTGCAAAAAGTTGCCAAATCTGCTGACACACAGGGCCAGCTTCAAAGGGTGTGTGTGTGTGTGTGTAGAGTGCTTGGTCGCTTTAAGGTAAGCTCTATGGTCCCAGACTTCTCATTTGTTATTCTTTCTCTTGACAGAAAACAAGCCTGGAGTTCTACATTGACATCCACGCCCACTCCACCATGATGAATGGCTTCATGTATGGCAATATCTTTGAGGATGAAGAGAGGTTCCAGAGGCAGGCCATTTTCCCCAAGCTGCTCTGCCAGAATGCAGAGGACTTCTCCTATGTAAGTCAAGAGCTCTTGCATACCCTGCTCCAGCCCCCTCCACACCTCTGTGCCTCCTCCTGCCCCCTCCTCTTTCTTCTGGCTCAGTTCAGTTTGGTTCGACCTTCAGGGGACACCTACTCTGTGCCAGGTCTTGCGTGGGTGATAAAGATGGAGGTAAACGAGCCGTGACCATGCCCTCAAGCTGCTCATGGCCCATCCGCGAGGGAGCCCCTGAAAAGGTGGCACTTGATCTGTCTGATGAGCTGGCATCTGTTGAGTGGATCTGACTCCAGTATTAACAAGGGACAGTAACTCACTGAGGCCTCCTATGTGCCAGCCCCAGCCCAGGGCCTGTTTTCATCTCCCTCAGTTCTTTTAGTACAAGGGGTCATTTGCCCACCATGCTCCCCCTCTCCATGACTCTTTCTTGGCCTCAATTTCATGGTCAGCAATTGTTGGGTAATAATTTCCATATCTACAGTTGCGTGTCCTGCGTGTCCTAGTGAACATGTGCAGCTATAGATGTGAAAGTCCCTTGCTACCAGTAAAGACCTCAACAAACTCCAGAGATGGATGCTCGTACTGCCCCTCCCCTGTGAGGAGGCTGGGGAGGTTCTTAGGCAGTAAGAGAAATTCATAGCACAAAGCAGTATTGTGAAAGAACTGGGAGAGAAGGTGAGGATAGGGATCAGCACTGGTACGGGGACATAGGAGAGTGTTTGTGCATTTTACTTTGTTTTGATATTAAATATATGGGCCTTGTTATTTCCATATGGCCAGAGGAGGAGAGGTCTACAAAGGTCATAGCAATTTTTGAAGTTGATGAGCTGAAAACTCACCTGCCCGTAGCTTTAGGCTGGACATTAGTGGAGATGATGAATTTCTGTGTGTGGTAAAGTGCACTTTGAATCCCAATCTTTGAAAAGAAAGAAAAGGAAAGGAAATGGAGATGGTTTAGTCCAGTCCCTTCTTTATACCCAAGAGACACCTATGGATCAGAAAAGTTAAGAATCTATTGCAAGGTTACCTAGCATTTAGGGATAGAATTGAAGCAGCTGGCTGCCCATTTGCAGCTAAGGGACAAACACCGCCATGCTTGTTTCTATAGGACCCTCTACAATCCTGTCTTTTTGAAACCACTGCAATTTCAGAGCAGGTTGCAGCCTCCTGGGTCCATGTTCCTTGGAAGGTGTGTCTTCCATTTCAGAGACCCTCACAGGGGTGAGGTTTCAGGACCTACAAAAGGGGCCCAACCCAGGAGCCTTATTTATGGGCTTGTTGACAAGGATCCTGCCATGCAGCCCCTCTGGGAGCTCCGAGTTGGAGTCAAGGGCATCTATCCAGGTCTAATCACTGCCTCTGCTTGGTTCCTCAATGCTAATTTCACAACAGGAGAGCAGTGCACCACATGGATTTCAAAGTCCTTTCAGATCTGCCATTTTATGATTTTCTGATTTTTTTTTCCCTTTACCTCTAATGGTACACACACTCTTTGTTTCTTTCACTGTCTTTATCCCTCTTGTTTTTATGTTTTCCATCTCTTGCTTCTCTTATCTCCTTCTGAATATGACACACATCCTCTTATTAAAACCACAGTTTTCATTTATTTAGATTTCCATGGGTTCACACAGAACACCTTCAGCAAACTGACCCTCACAACTCTGTGGACAAGATTTTTTTTTTTTTATCACATCTACTTTACAGATGAGGAAAGCAAGGTTGTGACAAATAAGGCCACTAGCCTGCTATCACACTAATGGGGAACAGAGATGTGAGTGGTGGGAACAGGAGGTTAAGAAGGCAATTCTGTAAATTGGACCCACTGTGCTGACCCCCAAATGCTTTCTTTTGTAAAAAAAAAAAAATCAAAACAAACAAACCTGAAGCCCTGCCTGGCTCAGGTCAACAGGATATGATATATTCCTCAGCAAACAACCTGTTATCTGCAGGAGAAGTGCAGGCCCAAATGCAGTGAAAAGAGCACGTTACCCTTGGGTGGGGTGACTTTAGTGACCTTTTACATAGGCCAGATCCCAGAACTCGGGGAGATAGGGATGATTCCCCCCAGTCAAAATCTATAAGAACATGTTCCAGTTAGAACTGGTTAGCATGGGCCAAAGTGACCTGAAGTTGTCATGTCCAGTAGGGACTTGAAATCTGATGTCCCCCTGCTATCAGTTAAAAGTCAGGAGGTGGATCTGGTTGGAATTCTTTGGAAACTTCCATGGAACCTGCAATAAAACCAGAAGGCAGAAGGGGCACCCCAACCTTCTCCTCTCTGAGAAGACCCACTCTCTCCCTTGAGAGGATTCCCTTTCCCTTTTCTAATAAACTCATGCCTGCTACTCTGATTAACATGTCTAAATTTTTTCTGGTGTGATCACAAGAACTGAGGTGAGAAAGGACCGCTATGGCTGCCTCAGCTTGGTGGCAGGTCAGTGCCCCGTATCAAACCACCAGGGGGTGGTGGAGCATGCGTTTGAAGAGAGAGTCTGACCTGTCTGTCTACTCTGATGGGTATTCTCAACACCCTCGTGAAGACACAGTCATAGTTCCTACCCTCTGATGACACTGGATATGAGTTCAGAATCTCTAATGGGAACATGGAATCACTTGATCCTGGGTTCAATCTGCTTTCTGACTTACTTGCTCCACCTCTATGAGCCTCAGTTTCCACATCTGTAGAGAGGTAAAGTGTTCACGCCCACTTCAAGGGATTCTTTTGAAGCCTAAAGGGGATACGACATGGGGAACAATATCATAAAGTTGAAAACACTTTCCAAATTTTACGATCATCGTCATCATATCGTTGCTTCTTGTTCCCTGTCTACATTTCCTGCTCCATCTGTCCCCACTCAAGTTTCCACAGACAGTTGTTGAGCAGCAGTTACGCTGCCCCAAGGGCTCTGCTGGATCGTTCATTTAATTACGTTGCTTATTCAATCAGTCCTCACAATAATCCTGAGATGTGGGATTAATATCCCACTTTTTGGAGAGGAAGCTGAGACCAGGAAGTGTTGTAAGATCTACTCAAAATAGCCAGCAGGTCCCCAGGCCTGATTCTGTCCTCTCTACTTACTCTTTCAGTCTAGCACATCATTCAACCGGGATGCCGTGAAGGCAGGAACCGGCCGGCGCTTCCTGGGTGGTCTCCTGGACCACACTTCCTACTGCTACACCCTAGAGGTCTCCTTCTACAGCTACATCGTCGGGGGCACCACGGCTGCTGTGCCCTACACCGAAGAAGCCTGTATCCTTGGCAAATCCCCACCGGGCCCTGGGCCAGTCTCATCCAGGCAGGGGAATCCAAGTCTGCCAGGATTTACTAGCAGGTCAGAAATCAGGATTCCAGTTCAGGAAAAGGCCAGACCTGAGGGGAGGATGGAGGTGGCAGCTTTGGATGGTCCCATTTGCCCTGCCTTTCATATGCCCCCCACATGGACATCCTCCAACTGTCGCTTCCAGACCCAAGTCTTCCTGGGGCGGGGGCAGCCCTGGACCCATGGCCCTCCTAGTGTTCCTGCTGCACTGTCTTCCTCCCCATTCCCCTGGGAGGTGGTGAGTCTTCTGCCTTCTGAAGTCTGTAAGTGCCCAGGCTAGATGATGCTCCAGGGTTGCTGAGGAAGAGCTTGACGACCTTGGCTCCTCCTTCCAGCCCTGATCCCATCAACCTCCACTTTCTCTCTTCATCTCTGTCTCCTTGTGCACCTACCTGCTCTCTCGCTTTTTTTCCTCCTCTCTACTGGCTCTTTTTCCTTTCTTGCTTTCTCT